TGAGCAATTTCATCCTTTTTCAGCTTAAAATCTTCAACAGGTTAGAGAAATGCAAGTTTGACTGCGATTATATACTTTATGGTTTATATTCTACGATGGCTACAGCCTTTGCTTCTCCAGATTGAGAAGTCGCAGCTGCGATGGCTTGGGCATGTGTTGCGAATGCCTCCAGAAAGGAAGGTAAGCACTATTCCTTGCAAATCTGACCGGCAAAAGGCCCAGTGGACGGCCAAGATTAACCCGGTGCAAATATGTGGAAGGAATCTGTTCCAGACTGCATTTGTCTTTTGCCGAAGCTCAGACTCTGGCACAGGATCGAAAACGTTGGAAGCTCTGTCTGGTACGTTTGCCTCCGTGATCCGAAAGGGGAAGCGGCGATGGAAGATGAAAAAGATGAAGATGATTCCACGATGGCGAAGGATGGAACACGACGATCGGGTGGTAGGCTGTTCAATCGTTGCCTTCAAATGCCAATTTCAAACCATCGAAGCTATCCGAAACGTTTCAAAGAACAATCATATAGTGCAGCTCTGAACATTGCTCCAAGACTGATTTGAATCTATCGGCAGAGTTGTGTCACTTGAGAAAGCCTTGTTACAAGCATCTTATCAAGTTGCATATTTTAATATCTTCGTGTCAAATTGTTGCAGATATTATTTGAATGCTTTATGCAGGAGGAAAATACTTAGTTGCCGAAATATTCAAATGTTTTACTCAGCATAAAAATTTTATTAAAAAATCACAGCGTCTCGCATCTGGCTGGATATGTCTTCAGCAGACAACTTGGATGGATCCAGTTCGATTCGGAACGTCAGGTTTTGTTTAGTAAAAGTTGTACCGAGGAAATTAACTTATATACAGTTTTACCGAAGAATTAATCAAACCCTGGGAAATTACAAAATGAGTATTGTAAAATTATTGGAGCCAAATGCAGAAGGCAGAATTGTTACAGGTTGCTTGATCAGTGAGGGTGATGCATTCGATAATTCAGGATCAGGATAGTCGAGCCAGGATATCTGACAGTGCGCTACAGAAATTTGCCTAAAATGGGTGTTAATCTTGATGAGTCAACTGGCGCTGATCGCTTGTTGGTGTTTCTGGGGTATCTGAAGGAAAGGTAAATCATAGAAACCTTCTAATTCTGTGAACCATAGCGAAAAACTGTGAAAGAAATCGGTGTTCAATATCGTCAACGACTTCTTTCTGACGCATAATTGAACTCCTCACAAAGGGATCACTTCATATCACTAACATTCCTGCCATACCCCATGGTAACTGATGATTTGTTGTCTACGTAAGGAAAGAAGTGCCTCATATCGTGACTATACATTAAATATTGTACCGTTATGCTCATGCTGCCAAAGCTTCGCCTGTATAATTTATAGTTAAGTGTCTAGACTGTGTCAATTTAAATCAATTAAACTAGACAGTGATTAGAGATGAATCCTCCTACGGAATCATGTGATGTCTCTATTCTGATTCACTGGATAATGAGGAAACTAAAATGAGGCACTTCTTCTTAGGGAAGTTGATTAAGCTCATATCCTTAACTTTGGCGAACTTTAGATTTTGAAGCACGATAAACGACAACCTGAAGAAAATCATGCCACCTCAATGAAAAAATTATAACTACTTGCATTTAAAGAACTGTTGTGTTTAGGAGAAAGCAGGATCTGCCCTTACAAAGGAAGTGCTCTAAAGCTGATTAATGAGACTGGCATCATAATCCAGTGAAGCTGTATATAGGTGGCAACAATTGGCAATAGCAGTCTTGGTTTGGACTGTATGTGCCAGAGGAGGGGACCAATGTGGTCTGAGTTTGGTATGGACATAAGTGAGGCTGAATTAAGCATGATCTAACACTTTCATATGCTGAACATAGAAATAGGATAATTCAACCTTAATAACAACTATCTGGCGTAATAATGGAATGCCTGCCAACCTAATCGTCAAGTTTGCTTTAAGTTCACGTGTCTGTGATTGTATTTGAAATTTTCTTCTTTTGCAAACTGAATTTTTCCTGTAACTGTGATTGCGAAGCTCATTCGAAGCTTTTTCTCTTTGGCACTATATTTTTAACAATTTTTGGCCAATTGTTTGTTTTTCGCATGTTTTTCCTTAAACGAGTTGTGAAAGTAAAGAGCCTCAGAGTTTACCAAGTACGAAAGAAGTGGTCTGTTTCAGCATAGAGAGATGTCGGCTCGAAAGAATCAATTATTAACTCACCTCACTGAGTCATCGCTTTATTTGGAGCATGTCGCTACAATTGTACCTGGAGTACAACTCGGATTTACTTCAGTCACTTCAGCCTGCTGCTAAAAACTTTTTAGAAAAGTGACCTCAGAAATATTTGTGGCGAAACTGTGTCACTAAAAAATTTCCGTTGCCTCAGGCTGAATCGCGGCTCAAACTCGAAGAAGCGCGAAAGCAACGTCATCATATTCATAAAAGCAAGTTATGTGCAAAATATTAACCTATCATGTCTTTTTCTTTCGTCACAGTTGGTCAGATGTAAAGCGAATGTATAATTTTTATATAAGCGAACAAACAACAGGTCAACATCCACAATATTCCGCCATAGTCCATGGACCTATTGAAAAATGGAACGAATCCTTCGTTAAAAAACAGTATGTTTTTTTAAAAAGAATGATCAACTTCCGTTGGTGACTTCAGCGCATTTTTTGAAAGGATATATTTATCAGGATTGGCGGATCTGATTAACGTGACAAGATACGCTTGACATGCTTCACACGTGACTTTTGCCTTGTCTTATCAGAACTGTAAATTTCCGGCCAAATTCAAATTGCTGTGCTTCTTTATGCACCAGCAATCGTTACATAACGTTTTACAATAAAGTCCTTTAGGTTCGCATTAAAATGGAGAGCTTGATATGTCATTGCATTAAAAATGCTGCAGTTGTTTTAGCCCATAAAATTGATCGAGTAAAATACAGTAAAATGTTTGAGTAACACCTTCCGCTGATTTTTAATTGGTTATCGATTGGACAAGGGTGAATTGCAACCACAGGACTTGCATCAAACAGCAAATGCCACAGTTCGCTCTGGCATGGCCACATCAAAACACCATGCCGTCTATATTGCTCGTAAGACAACAGCTAGTGAGTCCTTTACTCCCTCGTTGCGTCGAAACGCATTGAGGCAATTTCCTTGATCAAGGAAATTAGCATCAAGCCTAAGTTTCGTCTTGATGTATTCACTTCAAGAGAATCATTTTATGAATGAATTTCCCTGACATTGTAAGGAACCTTCGAACCTTCCCTTGGTGATCCTGGTGAATTTAGATCACGTTATTTTATGTTGAGTTTTCCCTATTTTACTTTGTTCCCTGACATCGTTAGTGCTCACGCAAGACTGACTGGCGGTGTCCAAGCTTTCGCCACGCATGTTCCAATTCACAAAGTCAGCTTGTCAATAATACAACCGTTGTAAAGGTACTTTGCATCAGGTCGTACACGAAGGCTTCTACATGAGCATTGGCACCACAACCGAATTCAGCTCTGCTCACGTCTTCCTCGTCCATCGTTCTTTACATCCATAATATGTCGCAAACTAGATGTAAACTGAAGAGTCCTTAAAATGAACTGTTTAATTCACTGACGACATACTGACACCTGGCGAAGTTTCCCGCCAAACTCATCCAACCGTTCATCATGATGTTGGCACTCTCAAGTTAACGTCTGCAGAACGTAGCAACCAATGGATTGTTTGAATTTTTGTTGGTGGTCTTTCTATGACAAACTATGGAAACGTTCGGAAAACCAGACGTGGTAGAAAAGGAGGATGGCAGAAAGCTGTCAAAAGAACACTTACCAAAACCTTTATTTTTCAGTGATAATTTACAGCAGTTGCAGGACCATCTTTCAGATGTTTATGAACTTAGAACATTCTTCACAATACCGCTTTTTAGCAATAATTACGTTATTCTCGTACAAGAAACTTGTCCGCAGCGAAATGATCTTAGGTTCATAAACTTTCACTTTTTACCGTCTTGATAGTCGTCTGAGTTGAATCCACTTTTACACTGCTTGCTTTTATGCTATATCCAGGTTTTGGAAACTCATCGTAGGTCTCACCGGATCATTCAAGTAAATTCGACGGTCTTTTACGTCCTCCAACAGTAATTTGGGGTATAAATGGTACGTAATTCATAAATGCCCTTGGTTTTCGTCAAATCGTGAGACTTTGAAACGTAATTATGAAGGAATCCGATACAAAGAGGAATTTCTACTGTTTAACGACATGACCCTGTAGATGTTATTGCAACTCAATGGAACATGAATCCGTTATGTAACACACGCCGATTTGTTACCTATCGCTTCCTCACTTTACATCATATCGATGTTCTTATTTTATTGATTTAAAAAATGAAAATGCGCACTTCGGTTATTATCTTGTCTGTTCTGCGAGTCGATAAGACGATAACCAATCAAAAAAGAGCTTAGTATTTGCGTTCATTTAATCATGTCAAGAAACTGTCGTCTCGAACAATGTAACAACCACTTAGAATTAGACATATTCCAAGATACCAAAGGCAGCCGTACGTCTCGCTGAAAACGTAATATCCCAGTAAACCCTAAAATCAATTCAATGAGCCATGCGGAATATAAAAAACGGTTTTACTGTTAGCGCGTAATTAGCGAAGGTATTAAATACAAGGCTGGAGGCGACAAGGTCAGTTTCGGAAACGGCCTTAGCGAAATAACTCCACATCAGAATATTGCATAATACGAACAGCAGCCCAATGAATACCAACAACAAAGTGTGACTGGCTACTGGAGAAACGAAGAACGGAAGGGCAGGCGGATCAGCGAAACTGGCAAGCAGGATCTTCGACAGGAATGACGAAAATGCAGCAAAACAACCGGAAATAACGGCATTCCACATCTTTAATCAAATAACACTCATCGAAAGTCTGTACTTCGAATAGTCTGAAACGCGTGCCGTTTCGCATCAATAAAAATCAACGACAAAAATCAGTTGCTATTTTATTCCGCGCATCCTTTTCACCGACATTACTACATCAGCTGAAAGATTCGCGGTAGTTTTGTTCCAGTCGCCTTCATCTGTTCTCAACAGTTTAATGAAGTGGCAGAGCGAATCAGGTACTCTGAGACCAAGGTCTTCAATGACGTTGGCAATGTACTCTAAAAAAAAGAAAAACGACGCTGATACTGAAATTTTTCTACGAAATAGAAACGAATTACGGTTGAGGTAAGAAATACCTGCGTCAGCAATGAGTTGGTTGCATCCTGATTGAGTAACTTTGGGTATTTTTAAGACATAGTCGCAAAATGTCTGCACTGTTCCGTTTCCAACGCATTCCAGCCATTGTCTCGCTGCG